TAAGTTACAGAATAACTTTAAAGAGCAAGATAATAAACATGTTTTACTCTTTCAGGCTATACATACCCTGTTGTGATTATTCAGCATTGCCATCATAACACAAAAGGAGCCATGGACAATACATAAATAAATGAGCCAATATACTTTACAAAAACAGGCCATGGGTGAATTTGGTCCAAAGATCACAGTTTGCCCACCCTTGAATTAATTCACAGTGATTCCTTAAATGCCAATGAGCTCTTCATTCTAAGAATTGAGTTCAGAACTTAACACTTAAAAGGTGTTTAGTAAGAACTCACTGCATGAGTGAATTAAATAACAAATATGTGTGTGTGCATGGTAAGTCATTTCAATTGTATTCAACTCTGTGTGACCCTATGGACTGTAGACTGCTAGGCTACCCTGTCCACGGGATCCTCCAGGCAAGAATACTGGCGTGGGTTGCCATGCTCCCCTTCAGGGGATCTTCCTGACCCAGGGATCAAACATGCCTCTCTTCGTCTCCTCCACTGGCAGTCAGTTTCTTTACCACTAGCACCACCTGGGAAGCCCAAATAACAAATATAATAAGTGTTTAAATCGTGACTCTCAGATTTCCCTCTCTCTGTTCCAACATAAATGCTCCCTCCTGTGTAAGCAGTAGTTTCTTGCCTCTCTTTCTAAGCATGGAATTAGCCTGGCAAAATAGATTAGACAGAGAGAGCCGAGAAAGTGGTGGAGTTTCACGCCAAGCTCAAGAAACGGTTATTGCTTTTGCCAGACTATTTTCTGCCAAAATCTGGAATCAATCTTTTCATTAAAGGAGCCATAGGAGCTATTGGAATCGCAGTATTCATCTGAATGCATCTGTACTGAAATTGTCAGTAAACAATTTCATTCCTGACTCACTTTCCCTCTGTCTAATAAAATTTTCTGGCTGTGAAAGCTGTTGTTAAATTCCTAAGAATTACTGAAAGTACTCGGAATTTAGAGGCTGGAGAAGTGTATCGCTTCTTCTTTAAATTCTGAATTCTTATTCTTCTCTGTTAATGATTTTTCATTCTGGCAGTGACTTTCATCTTTGCCAACTGTTGCACCATCATCTCTCTCTCTTTTTTTCCCATCAGCTCTTCTGAACTTTTCCATCACTTGCAATACTTCTTTTCCATTCCTGGCTTCTTATCCTCAGCCCCTTTCTTTCTGTGGTGTCTTTGATGCTTTCATTTCCACTATGTTGAGAATGCCAAAAACCCAAAGGTATCCTAGCTTCAGATTTTCCTTTCCTCCCCTTTTTCCTTTTAAAATTCTCTAGCCCCTGCTGCCTCTTTTCATACCCACCAACCTCCAGGCTCTACAATTTCCACATTAAATATTAATTTTCCATAAGTACAGATTTCAAAAGGCAAGTTGGCAAGTTCTGGTGACAGTAAAATAGAAAAATATTATCAGATCAAATGTATCAACAAATCTAGTGGCAAATGGAGTATTTGTGTTTGTGGTTTAAAGACATATGTACTTGATTTATTAGGGCATATTAATATGCCAAAGAATTTTTAACTTTAAAAGCTGTGTTGATACTGAGAAGGAAAAAAAAACATATGGTAATCTGTGAAATACAGACTATGCTAAAAATAGCATTCACATGAAATGCAATAGAAACTGATGGAGAACAAAATTCACATGGGGACAGGAGCATGAAACTGGAGCCAGCTCTCATTATCTGACAGTATTTTTTTCAGCTACAGGAAATTCTGATTTCATGTTGATCAAAGATGCTAGTAATCAAAGTTCTAGTAAATTGCCAAGGAAACCAGTTAATTAAAATCTCCCTAAACCCCTCATTGCAAAATGTTCTAAACTTATCTACAGGATTCTAGGAGCCCCTAGTTGGAACTGTGATGAAATATTTTCATGAGGAGATATGAGAAAGATCAATGACTCCTTAAACTTCTTTCAAAATATCTCGATGGCAGAAGACACACAAACCCATCTAGAGAGAAGACTGGAAATAGTACATCTCCTTGACCCATCCCTCAATGCCTGGGGGAGTTCTGAGTGCTTCCAATAGACCATCTAGATAAAACTTGGAGAATGACTGGCTGCAAATGCCCAGGGTCTTAAAATGTGCTTAGGGTGTGCAAGAAATAAAAAGTATGAGGAGTAAGTGACACTAAGATTACACTATTAAAGATTCACTAAAGAAATTACCTGGGTAATTGCCAAATTCAAACAAACCTACTACCATAGTACATATTATAAAGAATCAATCCTTTATGGGACTCCAAAGGGAGAGCTCAGCCCTGGAAAGGAAGATAGAGCAAAGGCGTCCTGGAGGAGGTGATGTTTGACGTGGATTTGGAGACCTGGGAATTAGGCTGCAGGAAAGAAAGTGGTTGGGCTTCCCTCAGAGCTCAGTTGGTAAATCATCTGCCTGCAATGCAGGAGGTCCAGGTTTGATATCTGGGTTGGGAAGATCCCCTGGAGAAGGAAATGGCAACCCACTCCAATATTCTTGCCTGGAGAATCTCCTGGACAGAGGAGCCTGACAGGCTACAGTTCAAGGGATGGCAAGAGTTGGACACGACTTAGCGAATAAACCACCACCATCACCACCAAGGAAAGAGGTGAGAGGGCAGATAGGATTAGTGGAAGGACCACAATTTGAGAGATGGAACTCTGTATATAGGAAGCCTGGGAACTGAAAAGGAAAGTGAAGTGATATTTACATGTGCACAGTAAAACTGCAAGTCATGGTGCACTTTTTTTGACAAAAGACATCCTGAGAATCTACTGTGTATAATGACACCAATGGTACGTGCGTGCATGTGGCATGCATGCCGAGTCACTTCGGTCATGTTCAACTCTGTGATCATATGAACTATAGCCCACCAGGCTCCTCTGTCCATGGGATTCTCCAGGCAAGAATACTGGAGTGGGTTGCCATGTCCTCCTCCAGGGGATCTTCCTGACCTAGTGATCAAATCTGAGTCTTCTGAATTTGCAGGCAGATTCTTTACCACTAGCACCACTTGGGAAGCCCAAGGTACTATGAATTAAAAGACAAATGAGATAGTCTTGCTCTCAAAGGTTTCACAGTATAATAAGACAAACTGAAATATGAATGAAAATACACAATGTAACTGAAGCTGTGGTATGCTTATAATAAAAGGTTTAAAAGTGGACATGTAGGACTAAAGATTCCAAGTCTCTCTCAGGGAAAGCGGGCAAGCTTATACACTGCAAACATTTAGTACATACATTTGTACAAAATCTTTTTGAAAAGCAATTTGACCATGGGAAGTTTCTTCATATCCTTTGATTCAGTAATTCCACTGTTGTCATTTTTTCATTAGAAATTATTAAAGACATAGACAAAGAATTCTATATTAGATTTATCATGATTATATTCATAATGGTTAGCACAGGTTCTTGAGACATTCTAACCTGAGTTAAAATTCTGGCTTTACCACTGTGATCTTGGATGAGGAACCTAACCTCTATAGTCATCAGTTTTCTCATCCAAAAAGAGGGTATAATAGAAGTGCTGCCCACTTAAGGCTGTTATGGATCCTTTAAGTGTTGCTAAATATAAAAGACTCAACAGAGTACCTGGCCTGTAGTGAGTGCTCAATAATTCTTAGTTCATTCATTTGTAGCAGTGAAAAACTACCTAGTAGTTCTAGTAGGTGATTGAAGAGACTATGAAACATCTCATGCAGTGTACTATTATGTAGCCATAAAACCTTTTTATTGACCATTAAGTGGAGAAAATGATGATGATATACAGTTGACCCTTGAACAATGCCAGTTTTAGAGGCACCAACCCTCTGCAATAGAAAATGTGTGTATAACTTCACAGTTGGCCCGCCATTTCTGTGGTTCAACCAACCATGAGTGGTGTAGTACTGTAGTATATATTTATTGAAAATAAACGGTGGACCCATGCAGCTCAAATCCATGCTGTCCAAGGGTCAACTTTAATATTAACTGCAAAGAGTAAGAATCAAAACTGCATTTGCTGAACTTTCTGGACTGTCTTAAAACTAAAAAATAAATATACAGATGCATAACCTTGGGAAAAAGCAGAATTTAATTTGATCAGAAGTTATCTCCAGGTGACAGAATTAGAAATTACTTTTATTTTCCCTGTGTACCTTCAAAAATTCTACAATGAACATATTTTACTTTTGTTATGAGGAAAGGAAATTATTTTAAATAGTGCATTTTTCAAAATGTCAAAGTCACTTGCCAGGATACTGTACTAATTTTTGACAGATTATTAACTGTCCTTTACACACATTTCCATATGGAAGATATTACACTTAATGCCTTCTCAACCCAATTGTCATTGGCTCATGTAATAAGTCACTGGATTCCATTAGGTTCTCTGTAGTATAGTGGATGTTATGTAGGAGACAGGAAAATGAAGGTCATGGCCTTTACCATCAGACCATCTTGGAGAAGAGTGAGATGTATGAGTTATTTATACACAAGGATAAAGTAAGTAATATAGGAACGAAGAGAAAAGAGGGCATTCGGGGCCGGAATAGTTGAAGCAGGCTGCAAGGAGAGGAGGGGATTGAACTAGATCCTGGGGATGGGTAGGATTTGAATAATTCAAGTTCATGGGGCAGTATACGCTAGAAAGGGATAATAAAAATGAAGCAAAGGCACAAGCTAAGTGATATTTATAAACCATAAACCACCATCTGCAGGGAACCATGAGTGACTGGCCTCGAGACAGCCAAAACTTCACATTAAAGATAAAAAATAGGTTTCATCACACTTGCTAATTTGATTTTTTATAGAACAATGTTGAGAAAGATCCTGGGGTTGTACTGGTAATTGTGAAGATTCATCTGAGAAGATAATAGTATCATAGAGTATTCTTATCTGTCAACACAAAGTAGAATTGGTTTTTGCTATCACAGAGAGGTAGTCCTGGGTGAACCATAATGGAAGACAGAATTCTAGAACTTATCCAGAATACTGATGGGTTTTCAGAATTGGTATGACAAATTTTAAAAGGGGAAGGCATAGGAGAAAAGCCAAGGGTGACTCATAGATCTCTAACCTGGAACATGACAAGGAAAACAGCCCACAAAACAGAGGTGAACTGAGGGCACACACCACCAATGGTCAGTTTGGGGGTGGGGATCACTAAATTCTTCACACCTACTATTGCATTTAAAATAGGATGTTTAAAATAAAAAAAATGTTTCTTCTAACTTTAATGATCTGTGATTCTAAGATTCCTAACATGTTTAATGTAAAACCAAGTAATTATAATTCAAATCGTCTTCTTCTATGGACCACAATTTTAATTGGCTGTTTATCTCTGTCTTCGTCTGTTTGGGCTGCTGTACAAAATATCGTAGTCTGTTTGGTCTTCTATAACAAAATATAGCTTATAAACAAGAGAAATTTACTTTTCACAAAAGTTCAAGGTCAAGGTGCCAGCATGGTTGTGTTTCTGGTTCAGAGCCAGCACTTTCTCCTTACTTGGCGGAAGGCCTAGGGAACTGTCTGAGCCTCTTGTATAAGGATGTGTGTGTGTGATGTGCGCACACTTGTGCTCAGTTGTTTCTGATTCTTTGCCACCCCGTGGACTGTAGCCTGCCTGGCTTTTCTGTCCATGGACTTTCCTAGGCAAGAATACTGGAGTGGTTTGCCATTTCCTCCTCCAGGGGGTCTCCCCGACCCAGGGATTGAACCCATGTTTCCAGAGTCTCCTGCAATGGCAGTGGATTCTTTACCACTTTAATCCCATTTGTGAGGTGCCACCCTCAGGACCAAAGAATCTCCCAAAGGACTTCCTTCCTAATACCATCATCTTTGGGGGTTAGAATTTCAACATATGAATTTGGAGGGGGTGGTGTTTAAACATTCAAACCATAGCAATCCCTTTTCGGAAGCTTTAGAGTAATTAGAAAAATCTTGAATATCAAATGCATAATTAATCACATTTATTAATGAATACTGGAAATAAATAAAATATGTACCAACAGAGAAAACGGGGCCGAAAAGAAAATGGATAAATAATATAAATTAAATATGGTCTATTTGGATGATAGAATACCATACATTAAATAAAAGCAAAAAATTGAACCTGTGTATCAGTACGCTGTTGCTGCTGCTGCTAAGTTGCTTCAGTCGTGTCTGACTCTGTGCGACCCCATAGACGGCAGCCCACCAGGCTCCCCTGTCCCTGGGATTCTCCAGGCAAGAACACTGGAGTGGGTTGCCATTTCCTTCTCCAATGCAAGAAAGTGAAAAGTGAAAATGAGGTTGCTCAGTCGCATCCAACTCTTAGCAACTCCTTGGACTGCAGCCTACTAGGCTCCTCCATCGATGGGATTTTCCAGGCAAGAGTACTGGAGTGGGGTGCCGTTGCCTTCTCCAGTGTATCAGTACGGATTTATCATAAAAATATACTGTTGAGTGAATAAGAGCTAACTGCAGAATGATAGGTATAGTATGATCTAATCCATGCAATAAAGCAAAACTGACAAGCAATACCCTATGTTTTCTAAGAAAAACACAAACAAACATACATGTGTACATATTAAAGGGCATGGATACTCAACTCATAAGAGTGACTATTTCTGAGGACAAGAGTAAATAACTAACATTAACAATGCATGAATTTTATCTATAATGTAATGTTTTAAAAAATAATAAACACATGTATTACCTGGGCAGTTCAAAAATTTAGAAAGAAGAGGGAAGGATCAACTAGAAAAGCAAGCATAACATGAAGAATGTAACAGTGGAGTTAGAGTCAGAAGACTGAAACTCCTAGTGACTCAGATGGTAAAGAATCTGCCTGCAATGCAGAAGAACCAGGTTTGATCCCTGAGTTGGGAAGATCCCCTGGAGAAGGGAATGGCAACCTGCTTGCCTGGAGAATTCCATGGACAGAGGAGCCTGGTGGGCTACATACAGTCCATGGGGTCGCAAAGAGTTCCAAACTGAGCAACTGACCCTTTCTTTCAACAAGAGTCAGAAGACTGGAAGTCCAGGAATGACTCTGTCCACAAGTGACCATTAACTATGATAATTCACTGGGCACCTGTATTAGCTAACATACCATCGGCCAACAAAGATGATGAAAGTTCTAAGTTCTAAGACATTGAGGTGTTTTTGAATTGTTGATATTTCATAGAACAATGAGAAAATAACAAATGATATTTAACACAAATGTCAGAATGTCTGTGAGTTAAAAAGCACAGTGACCTGAACTGCCAGGACACTTCACTGCTGTTTAGTGATTTGGAAAGGTCAAGCTAGCTGTGTAACATATTTGATCAGAATGCTTGAGGGGAGCTGCCTACCTGGTTTTTTTTTTTCCCTCTTGGAACAACTGAATTTGGTCTCTAACAGGTGCTATCTAACTACTCAAAGTATCTTTGTATGATAACATCCATAGATTTTCTCAAAAAAGATTTGTTGAGAATGACTAAATCTATTCTCCAAGATGAAAACCATCCACAGTTTAATCCATAAATGATACACAGTGGGTTCTGGCATCAGTCTCTGGTTTCTTCTCAGAAGGTTTATAATAACTCTTCACCACAGTGACTAAGGCAAAAGCCTAAAGGCTGGTCTTCTCTGGAGCCTCCTTTCTGAGTTCCACATTGTTCTCCTATCACAAGATCTGCTCTGGGATGCCAGCTTGTTGGTGTAGAAGCTTTTCACCGAGACTTTACATGAATTCTGCTTGATCTGAAAGCTTAGATCAATGCTTTGAAGTTATCGTCTGGTTTGAACATGCTATACTCCCACTATCTTTGCAGTAATGCTGATTCTGGGATGAATTCCTGTTGCTCCAGTGCCCTTGAGAGAAGTTTTTAAAGCTGGTTTTTCTTTTTCTTTTTTTTTTTCCTACTTGTAATTCAAGTTGAAATCAATCCTTTCTTTGCACAATGTGATGCCACTTCCTATGTGTAGAAGGAAGTAATAATTTCATTATCTCCCTTTTGCTTTAGCATTAATAATAGAATCCTCAAATGTTAGCTGGGCACGTGGCTGCCAAAATAAAGACTGCTTCTGCAGTCCTCCCGTGCACTTATATGTATCATGTGACTAATTTCAGACCAATAGCACATGAATATTACGATGCATGCAACTTCCAAGTTGTGACCCTAAAGAAAAGGTGTGTGTTCTTTACTTTCTGTTTCTTCATCTCCAGAACGAAAATCTGATGATGACTCTCCTCCATCCATGTGAAAGAAAACAATGCCTGGGAATAGCAGAGGAACAAGGGAAAACTCTGCATTACTAATCCATGGAGCAGCCATAACAGCCCTAGTATGCTTCTCATGCAACTTAGGTAAAACAGAAACAAGTTCTATCTTGTTTAAGTCACAGTTATTTTACATCTTGTCCAAGCTATGAAGCAATGTACTTATGAATACAGAATTTGGTACCTAGGAATAGGATAATGATGTAACACAATTGAATACATATTATTACATTCGCTTAATGTGAGAGTTGAACCATAAAGAAGGCTGAGTGCCAAAGAATGGATGCTGTTGAATTGTGGTGTCGGAGAAGACTCTTGAGAGTCCCTTGGGCAGTTAGGAGATCAAACCAGTCAAACCTAAAGGAACTCCAACTTGAATATTCATTGGAAGGACTGATGCTGAAGCTGAAGCTCCAATACTTTGGCCACCTGATATGAAGGACTGACTCATTGGAAAAGACCCTGATGCTAGGAAAGATTGAGGGCAGGAAGAAAAGGTGGTGATAGAGGATGAGGTGGTTGAATGGCATCACAGACTCAAAGGACATGAATCTGAGCAAACTCCAGGAGATAGTAAAGGACAGGGAAGTCTGGCGTGCTGCAGTCCATTGGGTCGCAAAGAGTCAGATATGCTTTAGTGACTGAACAACACTGCTTAACAAAAATGGTTAAGCAGTGGGTAGAAGAACATAAAAAATTGAGGCTAGAAACCTAATAGTAAAACATTTTGTAAAAAAGCTTAATTGATAGGGAGTTGGGAGGAAGGGGCAAGAGGGAAGGGATGTATGTATATATATGGCTGGTTTACATTATTGTGCAGCAGAAACAAAATTGTGAAGCAATTATATTCCAATAAAACTTTTATATACATTTAAAAAATGCTTCATTTTCCCTATGACTGCTGTATAAAATCATCACATATTTAATGGCTTAAACCATCACAAATTTATTATTACATAGTTCTGGAAGTCAGAAATCTGAAATGGGACTTGCTGGGCTAAAATCAGGGATGGGCATGGTTGTGTTTTGTTCTCTAGACTCGGAGGGACTCCATTTCCCTGAATTTCCAGTTTCTAGAGGCTGCTTGCATGCCTTGGCTCACAGTCCCTTCCTCCATTTTTGAAGCCAGGATCAGCAGGTCAAGTTCTTCATACATCAAATCACTCTGACCCTCCTCTTGCCACTTTCATCTACATTTAAGAGCTCTGTGGTCCAGGATGAACTTCCTCTCTTAAGATCAGCTAATTATTGACCTTAATTCTATCTGCTACCTTAATTCCTCTTTGCCACATAAGATAACATACTCAAGGTTCTGGGGATTCGGACATGGACGTCTTTGAGGAGCCACTATTCTGCCTATCAAAATGTCTCCTATGAGAACTTGGAAATCAAAACCCATGCTAACTGAGCCTACCATAGGGAAGCGTTAAACGTTTTCAGAATATTACTGTATGTTGTCTACTTTTTGCCATTTTCAACAAAGCCCTACAAGAGTAAGCTGAGCTCTAGAAAGAGTCAGCCTACTTGAAAGTAGAGACGGAAGGGAATTCAGCTCTGTTTAGGAAGACAATTTTAATTTTTTTTTTCCTTTTTTGTTGGCTTGGGGCAGGGTCCAGATATGTGGAGCCTCACAGGGTTGTAAAGGCAATAGCACCGCTACTCTGGTGATTCTGAAGAAGCAACCTTAGCAGAAGATAAGCCCATAACCCAAGATTGTCTCAAGTACTTCCCAGTAAGTGCCCTCTGCCAGGTAAGGGGAGGGGACACTGTGGCACAAACTTGACTAAGAATATTTCCTTCCCACCAAATTCTGTTTTCTAATGGCCTCGGGGACCTTTCAGCAAAAGACCAGTGTGGAGGTGGACATAGCACAGGGGACAGAAAATAAAAGACTAAAATTTTCGTGTTTAAAACTTTTACGTGAGACTATTGGCTACTACCTTATAAGACTGAAAGCAAAAAGAATTGAAATTTGACAAGATTTTTTGAGGAAATTATGCTACCAAAGGATAAACAACATGGCTGGCCAGACCTTAGGCTGTTCTACACTAGAACACCTATAGATCTTTGAACCTGCACCAGCAGAAGATGGTTTAGCTGCAAAGAAAGAGAATCTATCTTACCAGTGCCCACTTTGAATGCAGTGAAGAAGGACAATGAACAAGGTAAAATTCCCTGAAGAGAAAGCAAAGGGTTGGGGGAGGTGGGAGAAGAATGAGAGTGAAGCACTGACCTCAAGTACAAAACACTTCAGATGCTGCAAAATTAAAAAAAAGTGAGTAATCAAGATAAGTAACATTTTAATGCAAATGATTTGGACAATAAAAATTAGTGCAAAAAAATCCTTGATGAATAAAATATCAAAGTCTTTAATGACAGGATCAGTTAACAGTGCTGTAGGAAGCAATATAGGAGCCCGAGGCAAAAGGACAGTTCAGTAATATTGACCCTATATTTATTAAAAATTGATATTTTATCATGTATTTTTTCTGTTACTTTTATGTGTTCAAAGTTTTATTGAAACATTTTAACCTTGATTACTGTAATTTTTATGCCCTCCTTATATTTTGTGTCTGAGACAAGTGCTCCCCGTCCTCCCTCCCCTCATTCTAATCTGGGCCCTGGGGGAGACTCAGACATTAGTCCAGAAAGTTTGCCCTGGGAGCAGAACCAGGTCTTCCAAATGAACTAAAGAAGGAGTTAACTCCACTGATGAGGAAAGGAATCACACACTAAATTGTGTCCCCACAAAATTTACATGTTGAAGTCCAACTCCCAGGACCTCAGAACGTGACTCTATTTGGAGTTACAGCTATTAAAAAGGTGATTAGAAGCCTCACAGAAAATGAGGCCCATAAAGCGGGCTCTAATTCAATCTGACCAGTATCCTTATAAGAAGAGGAAATTTGGACACATCAAGTGACACCAGGGAGGCACATGCATGAGGAAAGAACACATCAAGAAGGCAATCATGCACAAACCAAGGAAGGAGGCTTCAGAAGAAACCAAACCTACTGACACCTTGATCTTGGACATCCAGCCTCCAGAACTGTGACAAAATTAATTTATCTTGTATTTGGCTATGGTAGTTCAGGCAAATTAATACAGGAATCTCTGGTATTCCTTCACAGCAGTATTTGATAAGTGTTATAAAGTGATTAGACCATCAAGAAACTGGATGATCAAGAAACTGATTGGATGATTGAGCTTGGATCACTGAAAAAGCAAGAGAGTTCCAGAAAAACATCTACTTCTGCTTTACTGACTATGCCAAAGCCTTTCACTGTGTGGATCACAACAAACTGTGGAAAATTCTTCAAGAGATGGGAATACCAGACCACCTTGCCTGCCTCTTGAGAAATCTGTATGCAGGTCAGGAAGCAACAGTTAGAACTGGACACAGATAAGACGCAGATGTAAAGAACAGACTTTTTGGACTCTGTGCGAGAAGGCGAGGGTGGGATGATTTGAGAGAATAGCATTGAAACATGTATATTATCATATGTGAAAGAGATCACCAGTCCAGGTTCGATGCATGAGACAGGGTGCTCAGGGCTGGTGCGCTGGGATGGCCCTGAGGAATGGGATAGGAAGGGAGATGGGTGGGAGGTTCAGGATGGGGAACACATGTACACCTGTGGCTGATTCATGTGAATGTATGGCAAAAAACACTACAATACTGTAAAGTAATTAGCCTCCAGTTAAAATAAATAAATTAAAAAAGAAAGCTGAGCACTAAAGAATTGATGCTTTTGAACTGTGGTGTTGGAGAAGACTCTTGAGAGTCCCTTGGACTGCAAGGAGATCCAACCAGTCCATCCTAAAGGAAATCAGCCCGGAATATTCATTGGAAGGACTGATGATGAAGCTGAAACTCCAATACTTTGGCCACCTGATGTGAAGAGCTGACTCATTAGAAAAGACCCTGATGCTGGGAAAGATTGAGGGCAGAAGGGGACAACAGAGGATGAGATGGTTGGATGGCATCACAGATTTGATGGACATGAGTTTGAGCCTGCTCTGGGAGTTGGTGATGGACAGGGAAGCCTGGTGTCCATGGGGTCACAAAGAGTCAGACATGACTGAGCGACTGAACTGAACTGAACTGATAAAGTGATTGGACTTCCCAGGTGGCATTAGCGGTAAAGAACCTGCCTGCCAATGATGGAGACATAAAGAATACAGGTTCGATCTGGGGTCAGGAAGATCCCCTGGAGGAAGGCATGGCCATCCACTCCAGTATTCTTTCCTGGAGAATCCCATGGACAGTGGAGCCTGGTGGGCTACAGTCCATGGGGTCAAAAAAGCTTCAATAGAATACAACTAAAGCAACTTAGCATGCATGCAAGCATAAAGTGATTCCTGTATCATTCCTTTTTCTAAATGAGAGATTTGGAGGGGGATGTTTAATTGCAGCTACACAGCTGCCAATTTGCTATTTTGCATTGGCGAGGGGGTCAAATAAGTGGTCTTTTAGGTTACAGTTCACTGGGCCAGGAGCAGTGCACCAAGTCATGGTGGAAAAGACTATGCTTTACCAGCACGTCCTGAGCTTGGAGCTGGTGGTGGGAAGGGAGGGGTGTGTGTGTTCTCAGAGCAGCAAGAAGGATGCACTTAAGTGTTAGAGTGGACAGAGAAACAGTCTGGGTCAGAATCACTATCATCTCCCAACTTCTGCTACCTCTTTCCTCCTTTAGCAACAGAATTCCCAAATCTCAGCTGCACACATGGCCAACCAGACTAGAAATCTCCTTATAGATCAATAAGACCACATATTCATTTCCGAGTAATGGGATATGAATGGAAGAGATGTGTGCAAGCCCTAAAAAGGAAGTGGTACATCCTCCCATTTCTTCTTCAGGGTGCTCCAAATGTCAACATTGTGACGACGAGCCATTTTCACCTGCACAGATAAAGGTGACACCTACCACTCCACTGAAACTATAGTAATCTTGGTCACCCAGTTCACCCCAGCAAATATAGACAAGAGCATACAATCAGGAAGGACTGATGGCTATCTACCTTAGCCTGTGACAAAATAAGCTAGATTCCCCTGTTCTCTGGACTTATTGGGCAATTTGAGTAGTTCAAATTATGTTGGATATGAAATGATGAAGGAGTTTGGAAGTTTAGCTAGGATATCAGTTCAATTACTACAGGATGACAAATAACAGTGGTCTCAACGAAACAGTACTTCTATGGCGGTTTAGTGGTTAGGGACACAACTGCCAACGCAGGGGACATAGGTTTGATCACTGATCTGGGAAGATTCCACATGCCAAGGGGCAACTGAGTCTGTGCGTCACAACTACTGAAGCCCGCGTGCCCAGAGCCTTTGTTCTGCATCGAGAGAAGCCACCACAATGAGAAGCCCACACATCACAACTGGAGAGAACAGTCTCTACTCACCACAAAAAGAAAAAGCCTACCTGTAACAGTGAAGACCCAGCACAGCCAAAAATAAATAAAGAAAATTTTATTAAAAAACAAACAAGAAAAACTAAAATAGAACCATTCTTTCCCGCCACATAACATCTCAAGTAATAAGCAGTTGGGGTTGATTCAGTGGCACCATAATATCTAAGCCAAAAATCTTTCCTATTTTGCAGCTTTGCCATCCCAAATTTGAATTTCTAGCCCTGACCTGTCTCCTGAGCTTCAGACTGGCTTATCTAGTCGCTTAATCAACAGTTCCATTTAGATATCTGAAAGGGATCTCAGACTTAAATCTCTAAAATAGAACCCTTGTTTTTCTCCCCTAAATCATGTCTCCCCTGGTCTTCCCCATGTCAGTAAATGGCACCATCAACCAGTTGTTCAGACTCAGTGATTCAGACCAAAATTCTGGGAATAATTCAAGACAAGTTCTGCCCCTTTGGAAATATATCCCAAATCTGATCACTTCCCACCAGCTCCACCATCATCATTCTAATCTATGCTGTTGTTTTTCCAGGTTATAAAATCACAATAGCAACCTAATTGGACTCCTAATTTCCACACTTAGATTGTACAGCTCATTACCCCTTAGAGAGAAGGAAGAGTGTATTGATATTCTATCATTACTGTGACAAATTACCACAAACATAGTGATTTGATAAATGCAGATGTATCTTGTTATTCTTCGGTAAGTCAGAAATCTAACCTAAGTCTCGCTGGGCTAAAATCAAGGTGTGGGGTAGTTCCATTCCCTTTAGGGGGCACTAGTGAAGAATCCACTTCCTGCTTTCCAATTTTCACAGGCTGCTCTTACTCAGGGGCTTGTGTCCTCAGTCCCTCATTTTCAAAGCCAGGATTGATGGATTGAGTCCTCCACACATCTCCCCACTCAGACCTTGTCTGTCGTCTTCTTCCATCTTCAAGGACCACTGAGAAAAAAAAAACCAAACAAACAAGATAATCTCCCTATTTTAAGATCTGCTGATAGGCAACTTTAATTCCATCTGCAATTTTAATTTCCCTTTTCTATGTAAGGTAACATTATTCTGCCTGCCACATAGTATGATCTTTAAACATGTAAAACAGATTGCATTTCCCTCTTTTTATGTTCTCCATTGCCTTCTTATTCACACTTAGAAACCCAAAATCTTACCCCAGCAAACACGCTTCTCCTGAACTGCATGCTCATGTCTACTTCCTTATTCTATCCCCCCATCACCCTCTCCCACTAAATTTTATGCAGTCTCACCAATCTTCCTGCTGTCCCTAAAGTGCCAAGATTATTCCCACCTCAGAGCCTCTAAATGTTCTTTTTGCTGCTAGAACCTCTTCCCTATATATTGGCATGGTCCCCTCCCTCATTCCATTCATGCCTCTGCCCCAAAGGCACTTCCTCAGAAAAGCCATTCCTGACCATTATCTGTCACTGCCATAAAAATATCTGGCACCAGACAATACTTTGGCCACCTAATGTAAAGAGCCAACTCCCTGGAAAACACCCCAATGCTGGGATAAGATTGAAGGCAAGAAGAGAAGTAGACAGCAGAGAATGATATGGTTAAATAGTATTACTGACTCAATGGACATAAATTTTAACAAACTCCGAGAGATAGTGAAAGCCAGGGAAGCCTGGCATGCTGCAGTCCATGCGGTCAGAAAGAGTTGGACATGACGTAGAAACTGAACAACGACAGCATATCAGCATTACTCTGAGTTGCTATTATTCATTGCTGATGTTATGTGATATGTTTATTTGTTCATTTCCACCAGAATATAAGCTCCATGAGGAAAGGGGGTTTCTTTTATTCTCTGCTTCATCTGTAGCACATAATTGGTGTCAAATAGGTATTTGGCAAATGAATGGTTGAAATGTAAGAATAAATTCGCTGATACGCTTGGTGTTTCTACCTAGTTTCAGACATCAAAATAACCTAAGGCCTCTCCTGCAAGCAATGAACCATTTCTATTCAGAACAATTCAGGCAGGCTCCTACACTTAAACCTCACTCAGTCCTATTTGCAATGCAATTGAAAGCAAGGGATTTGTTCCATTTCCTTCCTTGTGTGTCTTGGTTTTCAAATGGGGTGTTTAATTCCAGCAAGCATGCTAAGCAAGTACAGACTCTGTGTTGAGCAGCCCCCCCTCATTCTACCTTGGGAATTCTCACACAAAGCAGGACAGGGTTACTAATCCACTCTCTACAGATGCTGCAGTCGCATCTTGCAGACTGTCAAAAAGGAGTGACAGATGTGCGGTGCCCAGCAGCCCTGAACGTTGCTCTACAGGGTTCTGGACTAATGGCTTTCCAAAAAGTCATTATTGATCAAGTAAAGTTTCCAACTCAGGGAAAGTGATAGCTTAAGGCAAACAACAGTGTTTCATAACAGAAATGGCTTGACCTGATTTGCTCTTAACAATCTGAACCTAATCACCTCAGTTTGAAAAAACAAAAAAAATGTGTACAAGAGAATCTGCCAGGGCCTATGGGTCTATGCCAGGGACCAAAGCATGCAAAGGAGAAGGAAGCACCATTTTTGCTCTCTGAACTCTTGCACTGAATGCAGTAAAACAATAATTTACCCTAAAGTCCATGAATGTGTCAAAGATATGTTTATTTGAAACAGGAAAATGACTGTCTTTGGATGACAATTTAAAATATCACAGGTGATATTTGATATATGCTATATAAAACAAACAAACAAACATAGCAACTCTTAGAAGCTACTGTCTATTCTTTCGTATCATGATTATGGAGTAGGTTTGAATTCCCTCATCAGGTGAGCAACAAAGGTATTAATGGCAAGAATGGTTATCGATGTACCTAGATTAAAACAGCTTCCCGTTTATACTAGTTTCAGACTCTGTACTCTGGGTGCTAGATCTTAGGTATCTAAAACTCACCTTATTCCAATATGACCTCTTCTTCTGATTTATCTGCTTCTCTAACCTTTAATACACCTTTCTACTCTTCACCACTTTTAGGTTACTGGTCATTTGTAACTGGTCACTATTCCAAACTGTGAAGACAAGAAGCTTCTTAAAACACTCAATTGTCAGACTGGAGGCATATCTCCTGCCTTTCAACCCAAATCCTGCTTAAAGAACCCTACTACACAACTGCCAGAATTGCAGAATGACAGTGACAGAGACAGTGAAGTGGACTGGGGCACACCTGGAGATTGGCCTGGCTTTGGATTCCTTCCTGGACAGCTTTGCATTTTCTGAGTAATTAAATTGGAGTTCTGAGAATAGAAACCATTTTGTTTGGATCTCTTCAAAAGAAATCATAGGCAAGAGCACATGGTAGGAACTCATTTCATTAATTCAAATTTAATTAAGATACCCTGAAAGATAACAAAATGACTAGACTAACTGGCTTACTTCTCACTACAAAAACCTATCCGTGAGCTTTCTACTCAGGTCCAGATCAATAGAACAATATTTGATATTAGTATGAAGTACAGGCATAGGTAGGGATAGGTAGATAGCAGATAGGTAGATGATACATAGATGGATGGATGGTTAGATAAAAATAATACAAACTGAGTTGCCAAAGGAAGGCTAGAAGAAGCCAAGACTATCAGCCAAGAATGTTAGTATCCAGTCCTCCTAAGGGACTACTCAGGCCTGTCTGAAGGAACTGAGAGTGGAACACTAAGAAGATCTTTTAGAAGCATATCTGATCCCCTGCACAAGCTTTCTGAGAATAACAAGAGAGCCAAGTCCAAGTTCAGTAAAAAGATACTGAGTTAGACATAATCACATTAGTGTTTCCTTCAGGGACTTCCAAGTAGATGCATATACAACTGATGACAGTCTCAAGATTTTTCCTTTTAAATATACATTGCTTAAAAATAGGTATCTAAATCCATTGCAATTAATGATTAGTTTATGTTTTTCTCTTAACCACTTGCATCTCTAAGTTCTCCCAGTGAAGGGACTGTGGTAGCCCTAAACCAAATGTGCTTTAAATCTTGTGTGTGTATGGAGAAGGTGGAGATGGACAGAAGGAACTAGTTTTACCAAATTTTTCCTATGTACCAATGTTTTGCAATGCATGGCCTATGGTGGATTGCAGGAGACAGACAGACATGTAGAATACTGCTACGGAAGGGACTTTAGTGATAAATGAGTTCAGGATCTTTATCTCAAAGTTTAGGAAACCAAAGTTCGAATGAGAAAGCTTGTTGCCCAAGGTCATACTTGATTTTTGACAATTTGTCAGCATCAGAGCTAAACTTAGACCTCCATAAATCTTGATTCTCAGTTCAAAGCTCTTTTCATTAATCCATTCAATCTTCTCAAGAAGGAATTCTCAGACAAGGGGTTAGCATTCACTTTCTGAGGAGGCCAAAAGCAACTACAGATGAAAAGACATGAGTCTGGAACCTTAGACTACTCAGAAATCCTAACATCTCTACAAAGCAACTCTTTCTTATTACAGTAATCCGAACTGCAGCAACCAAGAGCTTCCCTGGGACTCCAGTTCAATTCCAGGGTCTGGAAGATCCTCTGGAGAAGGGATAGGCCAGTATTCTTGGGCTTCCCTGGTAGCTAAGATGGTAAAGAATCCGCCTGCAATGCAGGACACCTGGGTTCAATCCCTGGGTTGGTAAGATCCCCTGGAAGAGGAAATGGCAACCCACTCCAGTATTCTTGCCTGGAGAATTCTGTGGACAGGGGAGCCTGGCGGACTACAGTCCATGGGATAGCAAAGAGTCAGACATGACTGAGTGACTAAGCACAACAAGGGGAAACAGATTCGCTCTTAATCCCCATTTTATCCACTCCTTTGCATAAGGAGCATGGATTAGGGGAGAATATTTATTTGCTGTGTTGCCTTAAAGTCACTGAATTTCTCCAAGCTGCACTTTAATCATCTATAGAGTGAAGATAGTGATAATACAGAAGTTCCACATTATCTAAATTTTACTATCTGAATCTGCACAATAATGATACTTCATAGGAAAGCAAAAGCCATCAAAACATGAACATTTTCTCTAATGTGCTGATCATTTATTAAATTAGTCTGTTCTCCACATGCCTTCTCTCTGAAGATACGTATCTATCTCTAACCATTAAATCAATGTCTTTGATCATTAGTCTGTAAGTATAAGGCAAATCCTTTGCCAAGCAAAATTATACATCTCAGAAAAGTTTCAGAATGTCAAGTGATGAATGAGACCAGTGCTGCAAAACAGGGCAAACCACACACAAAGCCACCGACATGTAAGGATCTCGGTCTAGTTGGGCAGCTCAAAACTGGAAGAGAACAAAGGTGAGGTTGACCACAGGGCAGCATAGGAGAAAGACTCCAGTATCAACATAAGAATAAAAGTCCTTGAAAAAACTGATAAGTCCAAGAATATTTCTCAAAAGTGACCTTCTTTTTGATAATGCTTTGAAAGTTAATTAAACATGAAAGGATCTTGCACTGTGTTCTCATACAGCTTTGCCAGAATCATGTTTTAAAAAATAAACAAAAAAAAACCTTGCTATTTTCAATAACTAGCCTTAGTTGTCATTATAACTAAAATTACTTTATGAGAAAGATACTATTTTCACTACTTTAACTCCATTTTTTCAAGATAAAGTCTCAATTGAAACCTTTTTCTTTTAAATACTATGAAATTTTTGTTGCAGCTTTAAGTGGATTCTCTTGTAGTGAATAATTATCCTTGCATAATAAAGCTCTCTTTTATCTGTACCACTTCATATTGTAATAGGGAACAAATGAGATAAAACTTGCAAATGCATTTTGGCAATTCTCAGGTGCTGTGTTAATGTTAGAATTTACTTGGTTTCCCTCCACCAAAAAACTGTTTACTGTGTGCAGGTTGCTTCCAAATACATGATTTATGTTATTCCCAGTAACAATAATTGAAGGTAAGTATATACCATCTCCAAACCATAAATTAGAAAAGTGAAAAAAACCTGCTCAAGGTTACATCACTATTAGGTGGCTTAGTTACAGCAAGAGCCTGAACTTACTGTCCCCAAGTCCAAGGCATTCCCTCTAGACATTGGAAACATACAAAGCCACTGTTTTGTAGTTCAGTAATGGTTGAACATTCACATCCCATATGGTTGTTCCTAACACACTCATTCAAAAGTATTTATCGATCATCTTCTCCCATTAGACATTACCTTAATTCTGGGGAGACAGTGGTGATGATGCAAGCAGTCTCTGCTTTCTCACAGGTTGCGTTCCAGAGGAGTACCTCATATTGACAACAATTAAGCAAATATTTTAAACAAACAGGGCAAATGTCTTACTGTTAACAACCTCTAGGAAGTGTTTTCTAGGGACCACATGACTCAGCACTTTGTATAGATCAACTCATTTGATTCTCGCAACTCTATAAAGCAGAGCATACCATTATCTTCATTGTTCAGATGAGAATACTGAGGTATATGTGTGTTAGTCGCTCAGTCGTGTTTGACCCTTTGGGACCCCATAGACAGTTGCTCGCCAGGCTCCTCCGTCTATGGGATTCCCCAGGCAAGAATACTGGAGTGGGGTGCCACTTCCTCCTCCAGGGGATCTTCCCGACCCAGGGACTGAACCCAGGTATCCTGCAATGCAGGCAGATTCTTTACCATCTGAGCTACCAGGGAAGCCCTACTGAGGCAGAGAGATGTTAAGTTACTTGTCCTGAGTGATACTCCAATAGTGGAGGAGCTAAACTTTAAGCCTAGGCAACCCAGCCCTCAGACACACTCTAAAGGACTATTCTATAATGGATTGATGTGATAGAAAGTAATTGGACAGCTGATCAATATGACTAGAAACGTTTCCCATCATTATGCTCTTTATGAGTAATAGTATCATGTTCAGGGTCTTCCTACTCATATCAGAAATACAGTGGATTGTCTCAAATAACCAGTTCTTCCTTTTAATTCTTTGGCTAAACAGAGAGAATTTTGTAGGAATTGGAACATATCAGCCAAGAACAATTTCACCCAAAATCTACACAGCTGCTTAGGTTCTCAAAATCTCCAAATGGCCCCTTGCAAGATTCTATTAACATGCCCAAAGTACTCATAGTCTTTAGGACAACAGTTTACCACTCAGTATTGGAACTGCACCCGGCAGTCCTGCTTCCAGGAAAGTGTGTAATTGGGAAGCAGTGCTGGATGAACTGGTAATAGCTGACTTCAGGGTGATTTCATCTCTCTCTAGTTGCCCCTTTACTTACTGTTCAGCTGTGATCCTTGCTCATCCCCAGATCCGAAGATCAGAGGAAATGATGATCGTATTTCCAATTAGCAGAAATAGTAGCTATCTTGAGCTGTATCATTAATCCTTTCAGGGACATTTGTATTGTGTTACTTATTCTGTAGCTTAATGAGGCATAAAAGAAGAATCTCTTTCCTTTTCCTGTCTCTAAATTCAGGTCCAAATAATTGCTCCTGCTGCTACAGACAAAGGTTAATTTGAAGTAAAGACTCAGCTGGGGAAATTTTCACTTGTCTAAGCAATGGAATCAAATGTGTATAACCACTGTCATGAAACTGTCACCTTGTGACTTTGCTTTTTGCTGTCTGAGCCTCAGTTTTATAATGCCTTCACTTGGGATGTACTTGCTATTTATGAATGTATGCGAAGAACATCTCATCCTTGGGCAACAGTTTTTTTTTTTTTTTTCATTAAAAGTATTTAACACACACACACACACAAAAGTATTTAACACAGCAATTTTAGTATTTATTAAGCTATTCACTTACTCAATAACAAAGGTACCAAGCACTTTGTTAGGGCTGGAGATATAAATATGACTAGAGAACTATCTCCACCCTTAAAGAGTTTAGCAAGTAATAGGGGCAGCAAAGGAGGGATGCTAAATTTAAATAGTGATACTTCAGAATAAACATCATGAAAAATAAAACATATGGAAGATAATTTTCCTTCCTAGTGTCCAGTGTTTTTTTTTCTAAAGCTCTTTCTAATATTAACTTTATTCAATAGCAGCTGACATCTTGGTTTACCCAGCAAAGCACCTGAGAGATATGACATACCCAATGAATAACAGTGGTTTGCTTAGGCATGGGGGGATGTGTTTCAATATCTTGATTTGATATCTTGATAATCTATTTGGAAGACACACCCAAGAGACTCCCATGAATCCTTCACTCTTAAAGTAAATTAAAATTTTACCTTACAAGAATCATCTGGAAT